AGGATGAAGAAAGCCTATTGGAGAGATGAAAAATACAAGCTTTCGAAAGTGACGAGACAGAAAAACCCTGCTCTGATACCATGTTGAAACAAAGAAGACTAGAGAAATGAAAGAAAATAAATAAAGAAGACTAGAGAAAAGAAAGAAAATGTATAAAAAGAAACTGTATTTTTGTCTGTGTTCTATAATGTACAGAAGCAACCTTTATACAGTAGAGATAGGCTCACTAAAATAAGTAATACAATAATTAAAGAATCATCAATATGTAATTATAATCAATCGGTGTAAATCAAGAATAAATAAAATAAGTTGTTGACCCCAAAAAAGTCCCAATGATGTGGCCAACAAATCTCAAAGGCTCTCATGTCCACGTAAGCTGAATTCTTGCATACTTGGACAAACCGTTAGTCATACGTGGTCTTCTCGAGAAGGGGTGGAGTTGGCCGCGCGCACTCCGACGGTCAAGTCAGTTGAAAAAATAGTTTTAAACGTGAGCCTCCAATAAGTAAAAAGGGGGGTCGGCTTGGGGGTGAATTCTTAAAATATGTGTAGCATGAATATAGTTTTGAGACTCTAAATTTGCATTACCTTTGAATGACACTAAGTGCGAGCTTTTATACTTGATCAAAATGAATGAGGTCCGCTGGATGACAGTGCACGTGGCCTCATTCAGGCCAATGTCCTCTCTTATCATGTATATCAATCAATCACAACCTTAAATGCTAAGTTCACTTTTGTTCTCCTAAGGCCTAGCTTGAGCTTTTAGACTTAACCAAATAAGATAGCGGTGGCAGCGAGTTGTCTTGTCAACCATGTAGCACAAGATCCGTCCAAGATCTTGTTACTGCCTCGTTCCATACCGAGTCTTCCAATGGGGATTGTGCGTAACTGGTTCGGCCCAGTTCTTTCTATACGGGGGAAAGATGGTCGCCTACACTTGGGGCGAATAGCCCGTACGTAATGGGACCGTCCCATGCCAGCGTGTAATGCGTGGAACCCCCAAACTACTTGCCACGTAGGTCATTTGGTGCCACATATGGGTCCATGTTTGGCAAGGCGTAACAGAAGTCAAGGATCAATCAATGATATCTTGAAATCTTGGATTATATTCTAACACTGATATTCATACTTTATGATCTCTTCAATAAAGGCTCAATCACTTTTTTGAATTGTAGATTACATCACACGTTGCAAGAAAATGTTTTAGATATGCATCCAAATGCAATTCAGTTCTATTGTATTTCTATTAAAGACGCAAAGCTCTATTTCCTTATTGCCCGATTAAATGTACGAATCAATATTCGGTGACAATACGAATGAATACTATGATGAATTTTTCCTTATCAGATGCCTTTCTGTGATGAAAATATGGAATTAATCTACTTGTAAAAGGATAGTTGACAAGGTTTGTTGACAACATTGGATGTGGTAAAATCAACAGTTTTTTGAAATTTTTTGAATGGTAAATATGTTGATGTCAAATCATGATTGTCAACAAACCTTGTCAATCATCATTGCACATGTAGCATGATCGGAAAATACGTGTTGATGAGCCAAATTTAAAAGCGTGAATTTATACATGTCTTAATTTTGTAAAATAAATGTTAGTGTGTTGGGCCACTGAAAAAGTAGTGGTTTCAATTTAGTGTAAATGCAAGGAGAATCTGATAAAAATTACGTCAAATTGTGTAAAAAAATAAAAAAAAATTACGTCAAAGAATCATAATTGAAGTCAACGACCGGGGTTGGACTTGGAGCCATTTGCTTGGTAAGATGATGCCACATTTAGTGGACTTCTGGACAGATCATTCCATGTTTTGAGTGTCAAACAACATTCCTCGTCGTGCTCGTGCCTTCGAATTGTCAGTTTAATTAGGTAAACTGCTTGCCTGACCTGACCTGACCTTTATATGAAAATTCGAATATCCAAAAGGACAGCTGGTTGGAGAGATTCCAGGCTTTTGATGCATCTTCTAAGGCATGAGCTGAATTCCATTCCACTGGTCTTGAATTCTTATCTTACTTTTGGAAACAATTTTTGGTCAAAAAGAATAAAGACATTTTCCCATTTGCATGTACTTGAAAGATTTTATTCTTTAAACAATATCTCTAGTCTTCTTTATTTCTTTTGATTCTCATCGTCATTTAATACCTTTAAAATCTAATTTGCATGCATTGATCATATGCTATTGGAGATCGAAGTGTTTTTTAATGGTTCGAACCACCTAACAGATAGGTTAGGGGTTGGCACGATCGAACCTACTTAGACTAGAATCGGCTAGTTATAATCTAGTCCGTTCAAACTATTTTTATGCTTCGAAAAAATTATATAGTATAATTGTTGTGTTTTGTTATATCACTTTCGTAGCTTCTGCTTTAAGCAACAAAAGGACTGAATATTATTCCAAATACAATATTTCGTGTTAATTATTATATTAGTTGATTTAATTGAAAGATTAGATTATTTTTTTAAAAAAAATAACCAAATAAAAAATTCGTTTCAATAACTAGGATCAAGAATCGAATAAGAACCATTCAGTTTTCGATTCTAAACTCAGAATCAGATAATTTTAAGTAGAATTGAATCAAACTAAACCATTAGTTCGTGCCAATTTTGGGTTGGTTTGGTTTATGCTTTATTGTACAATTTAATTCTAAGGAGCTCGTTTCTTTGAGAATATTTGTTTCGTATAATTACTCAAAATTCGAATAATTGACATTCTAAAATGAATGGACTTTCAATCACACACAAACACCACATCGACCACATATGTACACACAATTGACATGGTTCAACATTCAAAAAATCGTACCAAGCCTTTGACCCACACAAATTATAAATTATCGTGAGCAATGAAAAATATGTTGATTGATAAACATATGCACGTTCCCTGGATGTCCTAAAACCAAGGAAAAACCCACACCACAAAAAGTTTGGACTCAATTTTTCGAAAGCTAAGGGGCTATTCTCTTTACCGTTTCAGTCGTTTTTTGTTTTCGATTTTTCAAAATAGTGAAAATACGTTTACTTACTTATTTTCAAAAACGAATTATTGAAAACAAGTTTAAAATTTAAAAAGAAAACCGAAAACAACAAAAATATCGTTTTGGGTGTTTTCAATTGAAATCAAGCCAAAATTTTCAAAATACGTTTTGGGTGTTTTCAAAATTCCACCGCCGCCAACCACCACCACCAACAAGGACTGCACCATCGCGACCACCACTGAACCACCCCAACCACACCACCACGACCCAACCTTTCAAGATAAATACCACTGCACCACCGCCAACGAAAAAGGAAACCCACCGTTGTCGTCGCCCCTGCCACAACAAAACCCATGATCGTTGTCGTCGCCCCCGCCACAACACCACTACACCACCGCCAACAAAAAATCGTAGCAGAACCACCACCGCCAACAAAAAAACAACCTCAGAAAGACGAAGAACTGCAACGTCGCGCAAGGCTGAGCGACCATCGCCAACCGCCCGCTCCAAGCGTGGCACTACATAACCGATCCGATCATGTCCATCATCAACACCAAAAACGCCGCTGTAAGGGCTACGTCGTGGTGCTTCATTTATGGAGAGTCGTTGGAGTGAGTGGGAGCAAAGACGAGACGAGACGAGAGAGGGTGGTGATGGAAGGTGCGACGGATCCTTACAGAGGGTGGTGATAGTTGTTGGCAGCGGGAAGAGAGACGAGAGGGGAGGGGAGACGGGAGGGGTTGGGAAAAGAACGGGTTTTGGATTTTTTTAATTTTGAAAAAAATTTTTCAAAATGATAAAAAGAATACATTTTCAAAAATCTCAAAATGGACACTCAAAACACAAAATTCAAAACACAAAACTAAAACAGGAAGAGAACAACCTCTAAGTAGATATTAGCCTTTTTTAAGTCCACATATAAGCTCATATAGTGGATGAAAAATCAAGAAAACCATTTTCTTTAGAGGGGAATATTGACTTAAAAGTGTTTACACCGAAAAGATGATATGGGGAGCAGCTTGACATTAGTTGGCTGTGTTCCAGTTACAATATTCACTTGTGATAGCCATAACGTGTGTCTACTTCATTACATTTATTTTATTTTTCTTGTTTCACACACACGTGATTCGTTCGATAAGATTTCGGTTTTTGCTTTTACTTCTATTTCTTAAGCTTTCTGATGAATCTTCATTGGATCAATTTTCTTTAAAAACACTTCTAATCAGCAAAGAACTTTTAAAAAAAATTCAAATATTTTTAAAAACAATTTANATTATTGAATAGTAGATTGATGGAGAATGTGTGGTTAAAAATGAAGGAAAATTTATTGATGTGATGAAAAATACTATTTTATTGAAAAATGTGTGGTTGAAAATGAGTAGAAGAATGAGAATGAAAAAAATAATGTGTACCAAACAGGGCCTTAATCTTAAAACCAACTTTTGACTTTTTCAAACCCTAACCAAATGGACCCATACTTCTTTCTTTGCCCCTCACATTTTAGATGAACATGCTTTAATGCTTGTAAAATGTCAATTAAATTAATAATCGCACATTCCACCTGTGACCTTCAATCCCTGATATCACCATCCACTTCTCCATATATATATATATATATATTCAAATTGGTTGCCGAACTTAAAACATTTATGTGGTAGTCCTATTGACAAATGACTAGACTTCAATACTACCTTTTATGTTGTCAATTTAACGAATATAAACGTAGTGAATCAATCTATTATTTTCATCAAAATTTAAAATCTTCTACGAGTCAACTATTCCTATAAATCACTGATAGTAGGTTCCATGTGAAGACGTCAATTTTTTCCAATTGCCCACTTGGAAATGGAAAGAGATGGGAAATTAATTCTTCACATTGATGTCCCACGTCCAATCTGATCTTTTTACTTCCTATATAAGTCAATGCAATGGAGCCATCATTTTGTAACAGAGATAGAAAGTCCCAAGCTATTTTATTTCCAATTTCATTCAACTATCTTGAGAAAGAAGGAAGAATGGCCGCCATGACACTAGATCCAAGTTTGAGCCTTCAAATGACTGCCAAAGAATCCCAACGTAGAGTTGTGATTGAAGATATTGATGGGCTAATTAAGATTTACAGAGATGGTCAAGTGGAACGACCGGATATCGTGCCAAGTGTCACATGCTCGTTGCCTCCTGAGCTTAGGGTGACGTCTAGAGATTTGATCATTGACAAGTACACAAATATTTGGGCACGTTTATACATTCCAAATTGTCACGAGAAGCTTCCTTTGATGGTATACTTTCATGGCGGTGGATTTTGTGTTGGTTCCGCCTCTTGGAGTTGCTACCACGAGTTCCTAGCAAAATTAAGTGCGAAAGCCAATTGTGTGATCTTGTCAGTTAACTACCGTTTGGCCCCAGAAAACCCTCTTCCGGCAGCCTATGACGATGGAGTCAAGGCTCTTGTTTGGCTAAGGCAGCAAGCCTTGAGTCGGGATAACGAATTCTTGACGAGTAAATGTAACTTTTCGAGCATTTTCCTAGTTGGAGACAGCGCTGGTGCCAATATAGCCTATAATGTGGCCATAAGACTATCTGGATTGGCCACTTTGAGGCCATTAGACCTCAAGGGACTAATCCTAATACAACCCTTTTTTGGTGGAGAGTCGAGGACTCAGTCAGAGAAGTATATGGTGCAACCACCACGCTCCGCCCTCACACTGGCGGCTTCAGACACTTACTGGCAGTTGTCGTTGCCAGCCGGTGCCAATCGCGATCATCCGTGGTGCAATCCTGTGGCGAAAGGGGCTGCAAAATTGGAGGACTTGCCTCATGTGCCTACTCTGGTATGCATATCAGAAATGGACATACTGAAAGATAGGAACTTGGAATTTTGTGCGGCCATGGCTAGTGCAGGTAAGAAAGTGGAGCATGTGGTGTATAAAGGTGTTGGGCATGCATTTCAGATTCTCAACAAGTCTTCAGTCTCACAAACTCGAATAAATGAACTGATTTGTCTAATCAAGTCCTTCATCAGTAGATGAACAGTTGAAAGATTTGTGTTTTGGGGTACAAAATATTATGTATTTAATTAATTAATGAAGGAAATTTAAAAATAAAAGAAATCTTTTGCAGGCATCTATTATTACTTTTAATAATTTGGTGGCCAGCCTTTCAACTACTCCGAGTCACGTTAAAATAGACTGTCGATATCAACATTATTTAGAAAGAATGAATCGAAATTTGCATGAACACTTTTGTACGAGGCACTACCTTCCAATGATCTATGGTTTCTTAGCATAGTTTAGCTAGGTTGAACAAAGTCCCTCTTAAATTATTGTTGTTTTGTCTGAAGTAAAGCATGAAATGGAAAGCCATGGGACCCTTGTCAAATGCTTTAATAATTGGAATTTCGTCTTATTCTCCTTGTAATTGTATTACTTATTTACCCTTCTATAAAATTATTACTTCCATATCATTGCCGCCTTGTCGTTATAGCACGTTTGGAAAGTATTTATAAACAATTTTAGATTATAAGTTGATCGAAATAAATAATGAATGTATACTCGTAAATCCTTCGAAATGTGTAGAATGGTTTTAAATGTTTATAAACATAAACTAAGTGTATCAACTTTGTTGACTAAATTTAATCCCTATTTACAAAATGAAGAACGATATGACAATCATGAGTTCATGCCTCGTAGATTGTATGCAGTAGAAAACGGCTCCAAATTTTTTATATAATAGATGACGGCGAAATACTCATGTTTTTGAATGAAAAATTCATTAGAGAGCTACCCGCTCCCTACAGTCAAGAAGATAATATAAACAATAATTAAGCTCTAGGTATTCCAACTAGTGTTCGAAAAAGCTCGCTTAAACAACGTTTAGGTTCGAAACAAGAGCAAAACACCTGGCTTCACTCTTAGGCGCCTTTTTTTTCAATTTCTAAATGGTTGGATTTTTTTATTCTTCTACTCTTTCGTCTTCTCTAGGCACTCTTTATTATTTTTTTATTTTTTTCTATTTAAAAAATATATTTGATTTTAATTTATTAATTTTTTTATTTTTAAAAACCTTTTATTTGACTTTAATCTCACATTTTTAAAAGACTTTATATGTACAAAAGTTAAAAAAACGATGAAATCTCGAAAGCATGAATAAAGTTCATATATCTAGTAAATAGAACTTGTTTAGTTGAAAATTGAAATCATGAAAAATAGTCTAATATTTGCATTTCGGAAACTTGAAAATTATGAATTATTAAATAAATATAGTAATTTACAATTTTAGATGTTTGACATATATTATTTTAATTCTTAAATGATTTTTAGAATGATTAAAAATTAAAAATAATATTAAAAATAAAAAAAAATGTGTTTTTACGCCTAGGTATCTGTTAGGTTCATTTAAACTCGTAAAATCTGAAATTTCGCATTCACGTTTAGCCACGCCTTATACCTTTAGAACATTGTTTCTAACATAAAATGAAGTTGAAAAACAAAACCAAGAGCGAATAATACCTTCCCAATTTCTCAAACATTTGAACTTGTATTGAGTCATGTATATATTATTTGCAAAATGTATTTTCTAAATATGCTAACTATTTATTGACTACTAACCTACTATTCCTTTTGTTAAGAAATTTACAAATATGTCATCATAAATAGGGATAGTTGCAGCAGCGGTCCCAAACCTATCACTTTTTTACAGACTTTACCTTAACCTTCACTTTGTGCCACACACAGTCTCAAACATTTAAAAAATTAGCACCTGAGGTCCAAATAGATGATTTCTGTTAGTTGACCGTTAGTTCACCCAATAAATTGATTTTAACAAATTTTAAAAAGGGTAAAATAGTAATTTTGAATTAAAATTAAAAAAAAACTAAATAACAAAGGGAATAAAAATCATTGTTCATCCTCCACCCCACCTCACACCACACCACACCACAACCTTCTTGAGATGCACAGACCCAACGAATATTTCTTTACAAAATTTGGTCCCTAAATGTTGGGTTAGCCGGTTAGTAATCATTTTTTAAATATGACCTAATTAGTTCCTCTAACGGGATCCTGCTGCTCAAATTGATAAGAGGACAATGCCATTTGTTTTGCAGGAATAACAAGAAGAAAAATGCATGAACATTATGTCTAAATTTTTTGATTTGATTCGTCTTAGCAAATGAATTTGATTGGGTTTAGAAGGAGATGTGTGGGGTGGGGTGGGGTGGGGTGGGGGGGGGGGACTGTGTTTTTTTTTTCTTTGTTATTTTTTTTTTTTTTTT